GCTCCTATGTGGTGGCCATTCTTCTCAAACTATGTTGCTTTTGAATCCCCGAAGGGGGGGAGGGAAGTGTAAAATTGCTGAAACTAATGTTTCTTTTAGCTAGTTTAAAAATTTACTAAGTATTTTAATTTGGGGGTTTTTATTTATTCTGTGTGTGTCTTAGAGCAGTTACATGGAAAAGGAAACTTTTTTTTTCCACTTCCTTTCAAAGAAAAGCTGCAAGGCTTGTGAAGGAAATGAATGAGAGTTTCCTTTCTTCAAAACTGAAGGCACATGCAGTTGCTAAGAGGAGAGGCCTGAGATCCACCTCCATTTTTAGGTCTTCCTCATCAGACAGAGACCCTGGGCTTCCTCCTTATATACCCAGATATATAAGTGCACATAACCAAAATGTAACACAATGATCAGGACAGGAAAAAACATAAATTCATTGGTGGCATGGGCTTGAAGTGATCTTATAACCATGCCAGGGTTTTTTGAAGAAGGTCGATAACAAATCATTGTTATCAGGACCAGAAGGTGTTCACTGAAGCTGCGTGCCCTTCCAGAAGCAGGCAGGTGAGAAGAAAAACTTGGCAATTTTGAGGGAAATGCTGTTCCATGTAGTAGGAGGATATCAGAAATGAGTAGTTTGTGGTCTTCACAGCTACCATGTAAGGATGAAGACATATGAAGGGGGATCCACCAGACTCTAGCAAAGCTCTGAGGATGCTTGCCACTTTGCCTGCTTGTTCCCAAGTCCAAATCTCAATCCTTACTTCAAATTGTCATGACTGTTGTGCTTTAGATGTTGCTAGTTGCTTTTTGATGTTGGCAGGTCAGTGGAAGAGGTAATTTGGGATGTATCTCCATGTGCAAAGACCACACAGTCTTTATTCCAGGACTCCACCAGGCAAGGAAGGGAGAGTTTTAAATACCTTAAAGTCTTCTTTGGTCCTGCTGCTTTTTAAGCTCTCTATTCAGGAGGGGGATACAGCACAAGTATTTTACCCCTCAAGTAGGTCACTGCAGGTGGATCAGGTAGCCTCTTTGTAGGCAGATTAACCTTTCCTGTGTGCATTATAGAATAATTTTGAGGAAGGTTTTGGAACTTTTTTCATTTGTAAGAGGCAGTGTAAGAGGGCTTACCTTGTAAATAGTGCCTCACTTGTTTTGCTAATGTCATAATATTCTTAATGTTCAGTGATACTTTGCCCCATTTTCATGGCCTCTAATGCGGAGGTAGCAGGAAGGTAAGCTTTTTTCAGAGGGCCATGAGTACATGGAAAGCAACAGGATGTCAGCTCATCTGACAAGGCTGTAAAGGTGTTATACCTCACACTTTATATTTCTCCCTGTTTACAAACTCTGAGTCATTTTTCTTTATTTTCCAATCATCTGTTGTTGGATGATATAATTGAGTGATTCCTGACTCTAACAAATATTCTGTAAAGTGAGCAGTGAATAATTTGTGTATGTTGGCACCCAACTTCTTGTCATCACAAGAAATTAAATATCTAACTTGCTAAAAAGGGAAGAAAATAGATTTTCTTTTCAGTTCTTTCCTTTCATGCTTTGTTGTGAAATGAAAGTGAATGAATGACTGCAGTCTCTTTATAGTGTGGACTGTATTGTGCAATTCAGGATCTCTTCCTTCCAGGTGACGGCAGCGCAGTACTTCAGTTGGGTTTGGGGGATTGTTGGTTTTGGTTGTTGGGCTCTATTCTCTTAGCACCTACTTCTTTTGTAACTCTCTGTATTATCTTTCACAGTCATATCCCTCAAGTGTAAGATAGCAAAGCCAAGGGAGGGAGAACAGATTGTAGGATCAGCTAAATAACTGTTTCACTAATACCTTGCCACTTGGAAATCTGGGGGAGGAGGCTTTTTTGCAGCAGTTTATCCTTACTGTTGTGATAGTTTTGCTGAGACCATGATCACCTGTTGGCCATCTGTGCAGGTAGTGCTTTCCCTTAACTCCCTCAGCTGCAGAATTTTAGCCCAGTTTTGGGCAGGACTTGCTGGCAAATCACATGCTTTATATCTTCCCAGACACCTACAGAAGGATATGCTTTACAATGAAAGCTGGTGGGTTGGGGAGTTTTTTGCTGCTATCTGGGTACCTAGACATAGAAGAGGAACTGTGCCTAGCAATAGCGGGCATCTGTTTTGGCAAAGGGATGTAATGTATGTAACTTCCTACCCCTCTCCAAGTATCTCACCTTAGAAGCATCATTCAGAGTTCATAAATACTGGTAAAAATAAAATACAATCTGAAATGGCTTGGAAGTCAAAGTCAGTCAATAGAGAAGCAGAAGAAATATAGCAGATCTGTGCTTAATGTAATCATTTCATTGCTGTCATGTTCTCTTGTTGCTTGTTTTGAACGTAGACCCTTCAGGGTGTGAATTACTGTGTTGAATATAAATGCAGTTCTTACCAGAAGATTTCCTTAAATTGTTTGAAGTTGTTACAGCTATTTGGTGGGAAGAATATCTGAAATATATATGCAACACTGACTTTTAAAGTACTAAGTCAGTTGTCATTCATTTAAATACGGAAGCTGAAGAATATGTAGTAAGCCTCAAAAGAGTTTGCAATTCCATAATAGTATGAGACAATAATATTTTGCTTAGTTCTTATTCTGATTTTTCTTGCTCTGAATTTCTGGACTGTTTTTCCTTCATCTATTTGAGTATTTCCTTGTCAACAAGGGAAATGATGCAGTGACAAGTTTTCTTCCTTTGTGTGCTGACAGTATGTTGCCTGTTTATCACTGGCTCTCAAATTTTCTTAGATATGAGGCCAACAGTTCCAATAGTTCATAGGCTTATTTTGAAAACAGAATTCTTTCTTGCTATAGAAAAAAGCCAAAGCAGGCATTTTGGGTTTTTCCTGCTACTTACCTTTTTGCAAATACAATATGTGCTCTCTGAATTTACATAGTTAGGGTTTTTTTTGCCTTAGGGACATATTGGGTTATTGGGGAGAGGATGTAATTTTTTTTGTTTCCACTTATTTTCCATGTATTAAACTTTGGAAAACTGTTTTAATGTTAGAGGGTCTGACATAGGTTAACGTTTTCAAAGTCAACTGTCTGATTTTAAGCTTTGAAGTTTCAATTGTACAAAGAAAATAAAATATTAGTAAATAGATATTCTAACCAACAGTAATAAAAGATGCAAATCAAGATGATGTCAAGACTCATCACTTGAATATGAAAAAAAATTCATAATAGCTCTGAGAAGACCAAAATAGGATCTGTTGACAATAGAAATATCAGATGTCTGTCTGCAAAGCTTGAAAGTACTGTGGTAAAGTCAGAGACCACCACAATGCTGTTTTCCTGCTCTCTTGTAAAGGGTTGAAGTGCCTTCTGCAAATTACTTAATCTGGAAAACCTTGAATGAGAAACACAAGGTCTCTAGCAGCTGTTCATGTGGGACTTTGAAGCTGGCCTTGCCTCCAGCAGGGGCTGGGACTAGATGATGTCCTGAGGTGTGTTCACACCTGGGTTATTCTGAAATGTACTTTTTTCTTGCTCTATGGGTGCAGCTCTGTGATTTTCTTTCTGCACTTTTTGCTCTCGTTTCTACTGCTGGATACTGTTGAGCCAACACCAGGCCAGTCTGTTTCTCGCAGGGTTACCTGTCACTCTGACTTGGCTGCTTGATTAAAGGACAGGGATTTCCCTCTTTTGATGTGTGTTTTAGATCCAATCCGTGGCCTCTGTCAACATGTAAAACTGGTGGAGTGTTTTCAGGAAAAATGCATCTTCCAAGTGCAGAACTAGTGTAGATTGTTTGGCTGCTGACCAGAGAGCTGTTTATTCAGGACAGTTTGAGAAGGAAATACTTTATTTCTTGCAAATTTTGTCTCCTTTGCCCTTGCAGTTCATATTTTGTATCAGACCGGAAGGTGAAGCTGATCTGTGCCTTCAGATTTATTTTAACTTTTCAGGCTCCTGCAAATATCTAGACCTTATGAATAGTAAAGTGAGGCATGCAATTACATAGTCTCCCTCTTTCCCCCTCCTGTTGCTGTAGTTCTTTATCTTGACCCAGTGGGATCCCCAGTGGGGGATTTTGTGACTGCACAGACTGGGCTTTTAGATATGTGACCTGATTTTCAGAAGTACTGGAATAAGATACAGGTAATGGTGGAGAAGAAAATTATACAATTACTTTGGTCCAACTGAAACATAGTTTATGCTCAAAGGAAAGCTGTTTCTTCAAAAGCTGGCCAATATACGGTGCTCTAAATGGTGCTAATATAACAGTGAGAACAGTATTAGTATTGGGGCAACCTTTCTATGCATTAAACTCTCAGATAAATCTCCTCTGCCTTTTCAACAGCAAATTAACTCCTTAAAGCAAGTTGCTGTGATTTTTTGTAAGATGGTTCAGGACCCCAGTTACTTGCACTTTTTTTATGTGCATTGTTTTTTAAAGAAGAAACTATTAATAATCTTGTCCCAAAATGTTTCTTATGTTGTACTAAAACCTGTTTAAGTGGAAATTTTTCTCTTCTGAGGATTTTGGCTTTTGTTCTACATGAGAAACTTTTTGTTACTTAGAATTAGATTCTCATTTTTTAATTTTGTTTTTTCCTCTTCCCTTAGAGGTGTTATATTTAAGGAAACTGAATACTTAATCTGTTTCTGAGAGGAAAATATAATTTCAAGCACACCTAGACTGCTGTTAAGTCATCTGTTGTTGTATAACTGAACTCTTAAATTTGCCAAGCCGTGTCTTTAAAAGTATCTTTTACCTTAGTGTTCCAAAGTGTCCCAGAACCATCATTCCTCTGGTAAATTAAAATAAGCCATATATCGTAGGCATTCCTCTAAGCCAGCACTCTAGGATATTGCTTTTAAATTGTGTTAAAAAGCTTCCAGTCCTTTGGAAAATTACATGATGGCGCTTACTTGTGGAATGCAAATACAGTTTTTCTGCTTGATTGTTTGTTTGCTAGTGTATTTATGCACACATTAAAATGGTGAATTCTCTTTTTTTCTGCAGACACAGCTTCAGGACATCTAGGAGTACTTTGGAGTGAACTGGCAGGAAGCCTTGCAATACCACAGTGGCAATAACAGTGGCTGTCCTCTGGAGATGCTGAAGCTCAGCTTGATTTTGAACTTTTCTTACACCTCCCAGCTTGTACACAAAGGACTTAACGTTGATTTGGATTTATATGGTATAAAATGAATGGATATGGGATTTTTTTCCCTCCCTTTGCTTGACATCTGCATGTTTCTGTCAATCAGCGATGAAGTGTCTACTAGGTCTGCTGACATTTGGTTTGTTTTCAAGATCTCTGAGTGACAGGTACTGTAAACATCCTACACTCTCAGCTGTGGAAACTAAGAAAGCTGGGAGAAGGCTGTTTACTCTCCCTGCCTTGGAAGTCTTCGGGAGGACAAGGATTCAATATAGTGAGCTCTGTGTTGATTGTATTTCTGACAACCTGTATTTCACATTTTGTGTTATGGTGTCAGTAAACAAATAATAGCGTTATGTCATCAGTATCTCATGTTCTGACCGAGGTCAGAAAGGCCTTACAATACATTTTAGCTGCACTGCTGGCTTAAGGGAAACTTAAATAGTAGCAATAATATGTTACAATACTTTCATCCTTAAGCAGTGATTAAAACAGACCTGTTGCACTGTTTGTATATGAGTGCTGGTACATACAAATTACAGTGTAGACATCCTCAGGTTGACACATCAGTAGTGTATTTAATCAAAATAATCCTTAAATGTTTGGTTCTTGTTTTTCTGATTCACTCTATTCTCGTTTCCTACTCAAAAGGGCTAGAAATAGAGGTCAGAAGGCAAAAAGATTCTAGAGGACTTCAAATTTCAGGTTTTTTGGAAGAAATTCAGAGGTGTCAGCACTGATTAACTCTATTTCTAAACTAATAGAATTAAAGATACAGAGGTATTTACCTTATGTTTTCCACTTGCTGTTCCCTGCCACTTGCAGCCAAGACTATTATTCTTTGTACTTTCTCCTGGCAGTCTTCCTCTTTCCCCTTGTGTTTCTTTTATTCTATTTGCTGTTAGCCAAGTAGAGCTTCTCATTTTAAATGTAGAATAAGCTGGAAAAACAAAAATCTTTCTTTTAAATCCAATATACTGCTGGCATGATCTAAGTCCTCATGAATTTTAGTTTTGTAGCTCTTCTTAAGCAGTGACTTTGACAGAAAGGATGTCGTTGGGTTTTTTCTTTTTTTCTTATTTATGGGAGGAGACACCTTTTGTGCTTTCTAATAATTTTTTCATAATACAGTTGAATTCAAAGATCACCTTCTCCTTTTGCAATAGCATTCTTATGTCTTCAGATTGTGCTACTTCAGCTTTTTAGCAAAGGCATTTAAATATCAAATCTTTGAAATAAGGGCTGTTCTAAGAGTAAGTCTCTGGGTTTGGAAAGTGATGTGGGTGGGAAGACAACAGGAAAATGGTAAAAGATCATTTAATGATTTGAAGTAGTACTTCTACCAAATGGACAAAAAAGCTAAAAAAAAAAATATTAAAAAAAGTAAATCAGTTATTTGAAGCAATAATAATTTTTAAGGCTCTGACTTGCCTTCCTTTTGGAAAAAGGAATTCGAAGGGAAGCCAGTCACAGGGCCCTTCAGTGTTGTAGCCAAGGTGTAAGTTGATGAGTGAAAAGAAGGTTGAGAACTGGCTGTGCATTAACAAACACCAGCACTTCAGGTTTGTGGGGTTTTAACTCATGATTTGTGTAGTAATTTCTAAGAAAAGCAGAGTTAGCCTCATAAAATGATCATTTTAAGGAGATATTAGCTGTTCGGACTAGTCAAACGATAGAGGGTAGTGTTTCCTAATACACATGGTTCCTTTGGCAGAGAGATATTTCCAAGGGTGATGGAGCACACAGTTATGTCCTCTACTTGACAATACTGATTGTAGGCTATGCTGTCGAGCAAAGACAACCTCCTGAAGGGAGGTAACATTTTTATATTCTTATTTAGAATTGCTTTAGGTTTGGAATCTTTTTTTTTTTTGTCAGTTGGAAAAACTTCTCTATATTTAGTGTTACTTATTTGTGAATTTCATAGCAAAATTCTATCTTCAGTTTCATCAGTGTAAGTTGGAACTGTTGGAGTCTCTCATACATTCTTCCTTGACCATGCTTTCCTGCCCTTTTACTTGTGTTGACATTAATGTTTGTTTAAACTACAAGCTAATTCAGTGACTTGACCCTGCTGAAAACCAAATAAGCAAAACAGCTTTTATGTGGATCAGCTGAGTAATGGTTTACTCCACTACCATGCTGTTGCTTAAAATGCTACTGAAAATGCCAATTCCTTCAAATACGGCCACTTTTCTGAAGAGCTTGAACAGAGTTTATTTTAAATAGATTATGAAATCCTAAAACAATAAAATGGTAAAATTACAGGATTTTGTATACTTTTGTATTTTATTTGATATTAAATTTTTCTGTTAATGCGGTTTGAATGCAATTGCAAACGTTGCTAAAAAATTCCAATTAAATTGTTTTAATTAAATTTTGGGGGGTTTTGGATGCTGTCTGTGCTTCTCTTTGAAAGATTTGTTGGTAAAGTCAAATAGCAAAATTGTGTTGGTAATAGGGAGCAACAAGTAATTTTGCTACTTCCAGACCGTTAATTGTAAAGGTATCATCAGATGTACTTGTACCATACTGAGCAATGTATAAATTGCATTATTTCTAGATCACAGAGTTATTTTCCCTTAGGTATCACTTGCCAAGCCAAAGACTTCAAAGAGTTTAAGATTCTTTCCAGTCTATCAATTAAACATAGAGCTTTCCCATTGTAAAAAAGCATACAGGGCTGTTTCAAAAGCCTGTTGCCAGTAATGAGTTTTGGATTGGGTCCATGGAGAGGTAACCTGGATAGCTACCAAAGCAAGTCATCTGTGGGAAATTGCTGATTGTGGGCATGGGTTGTTGTGTTGTTTTTTTTTTTCTTGAAGGGTAGTTCTGCTAAGATGCAAAAGTGACTTGCTCCAAGTGATTCTTGGCACCACCTGGGGCAATATCATTCTTGCATGTTAAGCTCAACATGCTGTATTGACTATGGTTGGGGGGTGGGTGTGGGTGTGTTTGGGGGTTTTGTTTTTGTTATTTTTTTAAAGGAGGAAGAGGAGGATATTTCTTATTATCATGTGTCCTTATTTCTAAAGTTTAGGTATTGTAATTTTCTCCCTCTAAACTCGTAACAGAGAAGTTGAAGCAGAACTTTTTTCCTTTTTTTTTAAACTACGATTTTGATTACATAGTCCCTCTAGGTAATTGCCTAACATCCAGTTTTGGTAATATAAGGAGTGACTGTGGGAAGAAAGAATGTGTGGTAGTCCTTTGGGCAGAGTTGTTGCTTGTTTGGAGATTGCAACCTGACCACGAGGTTTAGAAGTGTTTAGAAAAACACTGTTTTTCTAGTTTCAAAGAGCTTCTAATGAGGGAAAGGAGAGGTGAAGGGGGAAGAGAGGTGACTGCCTTGTCATCTAAAGGGGGAAAAATAATACACTGTTCATTTTAGGTGTAAACACTTCCTTGATGATACAGTGAAAGAGAGCAGCAATTGTCCCTGATGCTTATACAAAACCAGAGTTCTTATTTATGCAGTAAATCTCACTGTCACTGATTCTAATCTAGTGCAGGAGAATTTAAAGGTCTACGACAAGTTATTCTATTTTGAAGACCTATATCTAAACTGAAGAAGGAAACAAAAGGTTGCTTTGAATGAAGGAAGAGGGGAAGAAACCCCCACATTGTGTGGACTTCACTCATAATGGCTCCTGAAATGAGAGGGGGGATTCTAGATTTGAATTTTCTGTGCTATGGTTGAAACAAAAACATGTAAAAGCAACTGTTCTGCAAAATGCAAACAGGTGTGGAACATCTGCAATACAAATATTCAGTCATATGCAAACAAAGATTTTTTAAAGCTTAAAAATACATTAACTTCTGAACAAACACTTATTTTTGTTTGATCCAGGCTTACTTCAAAATTAGGTTCTGTTTTTTAAAAACCTTTTTTTGTAAACTGATTCTCTTAAAAAGCACATTTAATTGAACAGAATGCAGAAGCTGGAGTTTTTTATTCTTGTGTGAAATTTTAGGTTCTTGTCATCTCTGGGCTCCATCCAAGACCTATTTAGTTATGGTTAGGCTTTTTTTCCCTTACTTTTGACCTTTGGTTTTAAGGATGTTAATGTGAATTCAATGGAAATATGCTTTTGAGCAAGCACTTTTATTTAAAGCAAACTTTAACTAACCATTGTAGTCTAGAAAATATAAGAGACGCTGAGGGCACGCTTTTTTAAAATAGTGTAATATGTTAGCTAAATTACACTTTATTTAACTCCAAAAGTGGAAGTGAGGCTGTTGCATAAGCCTGAAGTTTGCAATACTGACTCTGCAACAGGATCCACTTTTGTTCCTGCTACAGTTAATAGGGGATTTTTGTTGCTACCTTGGTCCTGTTATTAAACTGTTAAAATAATACTGCAGAAAGATGGTCCCTAATCCTGGCTTTGGGCAGGCTTTCTGTGCTTCATTTCCTCCTTTTTGAAAGAAGATGATGCTTCCTCTGTAAACACAGAACCCCATGCTGTTTAGGAGTCTCTCTTTGGAGTGAAGCATGTTTCCCAGAATCATACCATCACAAGCTAGTTTGTCTCATTGGGTTCTAGCCCTTCACTGTGATTTAGATAGATCACACTGCTCGGTTGTACTGCTGGGGAAGTGGAGAGGATATGCTTATTGCAAGACCTAATGCAGGGTTATCATAAAAGCTGCTAAGAGCTGCTGTTCGCGCTTCTGTTGTTGTCAGCTGATGCTGTCTTCCCATGGGTGCCAGGCAGGCATACAGCACCTCTGTTAGTGGTGGCTTTAAGTGTGTGCATACAAGGCAGCCCACAGTTTGTAGAGTCATACCCAGGCTGCTGGGGTATTGAGAGCTGCCCAGCTATGGCGGGGTGGAAGTCAGCTCCAGGCCAGCATCACCCCACTTTCTGAAGTATATTCTTAGGCTATGGGCAGGTCCAGCTTACCCTCCTTTGTTATTAGTTCAGGAGAAATACATTGAGCATCACCACCAACTGAGGACTTACGGGCTTTGCATCATTTGAAGGCTGCATTTTTCCAGTTGTTTCTGTACTGCCTAAAGCACCTGCTGGCTCAGGTGTTCTGAAAAATCACTGATAAAATAACTCAGCTCTGATGGGCAAAGGATTGGTTGATGTTGACAAAGGGAATAACTTCAGGATCCATGAAATTCATGTTCTCTTAATTGGGTAGAAATAGTTGGCTCTGTATAGCTATGAACTTTGTAAATAGTTGAACTTTGTGCAACTTGCTTAGCTTGCAGACAGTTTTGGTAAGGATATTGAGATGCCACTAGATTATTTTAGTTCACAAAGTACAGATGAAATGTGCACAGTGGTAGATTGACTCTTTTGTCTTAGCAGCCACTGTACTCACTCCATTGATATTAACGGAGCTGCTAATTAAGATCTTGCAGCTTGACTGTGCAATTTAATGTGAGGTATTTAAAAGGTGCATAGAGTGGCACTTAAGGATACGGCTTAGTGGTGGACTTGACAGTGTTAGGTTTACAGTTGGACTCAATGATCTTAAAGGTCTTTTCCAACCCAAATGATTCAATGATTCTATGATGCTAATTGATGAAATGCTACAGTATGCTTTGTGCTGCCTGCATGGAAGAGCAGATCAAATCTAAATTGAAATAGATCATGTTTTATTGCCTTGGGGCAATTGTGCATAGCATATGGCCTTTGAAATTAGAAGTGACAAAACCAGTTGTCTCTGCTGCCACTCAGAGTAGGTGTGTGTCAGAGCGTATAGATTTGCAAAAACGGGAGTAGTCAAACTTTTCTGCTCTTCGCTGAAAAGTCCTGACACTCATGAATGTCCCACAGCCACTCCTGTTCACAGCTGGAAGTCTGTCATGTTGACTTCTTGGGACCCTGGCCCTTCTGATGACCATTGCAGTGCCTCCCCTCTGATCCCAGGAAAGGGCTCTGCTCAGGGTGTTTATCACCTACTTTCTCTGTTGAAAGTGAAAAGTGTCTTTTGTTATCAGCCTTGCTGAAGTTTGCATGCTCTAGAAGACTGAGCAAGTACCCAAACTGAGTGTTGCTTGGTGACACTAGGCCTTGGGAGACAAGCTCTACTTCTAACAAAGATCTATCTTCTGACACTTGCTGTGGCAAACATTATTCTGACAGTGTGTTTTCACCTATACTTAATGTTTTTCTCTCCTGCAGAAATGTGTGTGTGTTAGCCAAATGGTCCTCAGTGAAGCTTTGTTTCTTTTCAGCTTGTAGATTTGGTTAGAGCTATGTGAACTCACCGGGTAGTATGGCTTGGTTAGGATACTAAAGGAGCAGGACTGAAACTTGGAGGGCAAAAAAAGTTAAAAGGAAAATATCTGGTAAGATTTTTCTGTGAACTGCAGAGCTCTTCCAAGTGGGGGAGAAAAAGGATTAAAAATGAAAGGTATTAAATTGATGTCTGAACTGCCAG